AGAACCCTTCGCGATGCCTTCGGGAACAGAAGCCCGAAGGCAACCCGAATGCTCGGCGCACTAGCAACAAATCGAGCAAAGCAGAAAGCTGTGAGTAGTATCACCGAAGTAGACCCAAACTATGGGCTCAACCATGTTGCCCAGGAGTCCATGTCCCGGCTACATCCACCCTAACTCCAGAAACTCCAGCCCCCAAACCCTGACTCCTCCCCACAGTACACGAATCACACCCTCAACTCCAAAACCCGAAACCCTATAAACCCCTGCACTGAAAGTCGCAACATTCTTAATCCTCTAAGAGGGCCTCCGATGACAAAGCCACTGCAGCATGCAGTCCGATACCTGGGGAATGCAGTCTTCGGGGTTGGGGCTCGCAGGGTGTATGGTTGCCGGCATTTGGGGTCTTAGGGCTCCAGTAGGCTTGCAAGATTGATGGTCCAAGTTTGCGTTGAAGTTTCGGGTAGAAAGTGGGAAGATTTGGGAACCCAGAATGCAGCTGTCAGGCCTCAAGGTGTCGAGAACTTTCAAGAACCCTGAACCTCTGACGCGGAATAGCCTGAAACCCCAGGATTTGCCAAAGCCGCGTTCCCAAACCCTCAGCCTAAATACGGCCTAGCTGGTTCTTGGTTACACAAAGCCCTAAGCACCCCCTGAGCCGTTACAGAACACCCTGCCGAAACAACACGGAACACACACACACAAACAGCACCTAACGCTTCTCTAGAACGCAGCCTCAGGTTTGAGGGGCTGCAATGCCCTGGACAACTCACTTAAAAGGGACTCTCCTAATCAATGCTTGTAACACGTCTTGTGAGTGAAAGTACACACTGCGGAAGCCGAGTTCTCTTCAGGGCTTCAGGTTGAGTAGTGCAGGTTGAGGGTTTAGGTCCAGAGTTTTGGGGTTTTGGCCTCTAGGTTTGGATTTGAAGATTGATAGGGTCTGGTTTTTTCTGGTTTGGGCTGAGCATTTCAGAGGATCCCTCTCGCAGCAAATGCTCCAAAGAGAAGGACCAATGCATCGGAAGAGGGCATACCAAAACCGACTCTACATGGGACTCTAAAAAGGTAGGTTGTGGGTTGGCTATGGTAGTTTCAGCTTCGTTCAAGACAGAAGCAATAGAAGCATGGAGAGAACCAGGCTGGAACGCAGAAGCACGGCCAAGCAACACCAACAAAACCAGAAGTCAGTGTGCTCATACAAAGAAACTCTCGTTCGCTCAAATAGAACTCAAAGACTCAGATGCTTAGTCAGAACCCTACATGAACTAGGGCACATCGTACAAGGGCTTCTTGGGACTAGGGGTCGCATATGGTGTCATGAGTTTTTGGATTGTCTGCCTGAATTACAATAATTTTGCAAACCAATCTGGGCTCACCGCGCCTCGCGTGAGCTCATAAATTTACTTATTTCGGGACCGCGTCTCGCCTCGCTAATTCAACTACTTCGGGGTGCAAAGCTGATCCT